GCCCCCGGCTGTCTCTACTGTCGTCCACCCCTATTCCATGCCAAGCGGAGAAAGTGGCACCCCCGCAGAGGTAGATGTACAGTTTGTCTTCAGGTAGTGAAACGTTGGTAATCCGTATTTTTCCACTTAAAGAGCCATTCATACGCGACTTCCTTGTTGAGAATTCCTGAATCACGGCTTGACTCAGTTCCTGATGGGGAGTATTACCAGACATTTGTTTGTTTAGATGGGGATCAAGCGATTGTTCCGAGTTATTATGGAGACTAGCCAGAGTACTATGTGAGAAGGCTAAACTGAGGTGAGTAGCATGTTTTCAAAACTTTTATTAGTCGACACAGTTGGCACATTTACCTTCTTCGAAATTTATCAATTTCCCTGTTAGTAGACGACTTTAAGCAAAAGCGAGAAGGAGCGGGAAACGTTGATGTATGAAGCTTTTGCTGTCGTACAGAAAGCTCTCGAAAAAGAACCTAAAGACGGATGCTTTGGCGCTCATAAATGGTAATTTCTTAATGGTATATATGAGTTCTGCTTTACAATCGCGTTTCGCGTTAAAGGCGCATTCAACGCTGATCTTGTAGGCGGAGACAGCCAGTCATTTTACATACCTCGTTGGTGCGCTTTTTCTACTCAGATAGCAAACAGGAGGGACGTGCCGATGGAGGATTAGAGGCTGCAGTAGCTGTTTGACAGGGCACATCATCCGTTGTGGAAATCTCAGCGTAGGGGGTCTTATTTGGCTGCTGGGGAGAGGGGGTTGCGAATGGTTCCAAAAAAGTTCTCCAGATCGCGTTCGAAGCGCGCTATACCCACTACTTGGTCGTCCGTAAGACCTCAGTAAGATGGTAAGTAGACTAAAAAGGGGATCGTACTGAGGGAGGGGTGGTATGTTTAGCATAAATTTCCACAACGCGATGATATGCCCATTTCTGGCTCCGCCCATATAATCTGCTTGGGATGTGTTCTTGAGAGTGGAATGATTATTTATTAATTAATTTATGCACTCAACGAAAAATATCCAGGTATGCGATCCTTCTCGACTATATTGGAGAAATTGAGGGAAATAAATCACGCCTTCTGAAGTCCTACGAGGTAAGGTTGGCTAAAATTTCAGTCCTGCCCATTCGATTCGTGTCGTATAGGTGAAGGAACATCTCGAACGTGCACTTCAAATATGCTCCAGCGATGCAACAACATGGCACATCCTTGGTGGGTGAACGAAAGTTCTCAAAAATTATATGTCGGAAAACTGTATAATTTTACCCAAATTGAAAGAATACTACGGTGTTTTTTTGCCGAGTAGACCCAACTATTTTTTTCTGTTTCAGGGGTCTGCAGTTTCTCATTTGCCGATATGTTATTGCTACTCGATGCTGTGTGCTTAAGCGCGTCTCGCACACCACCTCTCATCGGACTTAGAACAGGCGATTACAACTTCCTTAAGGCGGAGGAGATTTCAGTGATTTCTTACAGAACGTATTGTTTGAGATTGCTTCTTTGCCCAGAGCTGTAGTAGGTTCAGAGAACAGCCTTAAGACTGTCCTTTTGTAGCCATGACAACCTGTTGCTGCCATGCATGCATAGGCAAAGTCCGCATTGATTGTCATCGGGCGGGATGGTGCCTGTCGTCGAGTATTCCCTAATGTCGTATCCCTCTTATTATCGACGTGCTTGGAACGGTGTGGCAAATTAGTGCGACGGTCCTCTTAATAGGCTGACCAGTTCATAGAGCTGAGCGTTGGCCTCTCCCTTTGCAACGATAGGTTTTCTTGGACTAGGACTGATGACTGCGAAGCCTTCAATGTATCCCTGCAACCATTTTAAGGAGAGGCCTGGCGCTGATTTGGCCGAGATTGGTCTTATTGGAGGCTATCCTGACTAAAGTCTGGGGGGAGCTTGACTATTATTCATTACTTCGGAGCTCAAAAAAGCTTATGCGAAAGGTCCTTTTTCCTGTGAGGCACCTCGGAAAGCCCTCTGAAACAGTGATCTTCTGTTGCCTTATACGATCGCGAGGTGAGTTCGTTAGGCAAGAAAGATTGGTCTGCCCCTGGTATAAATGTTGATCGAAGACTTTCACGCTGATGTTGCGTGGCGGGTCATCAGCTTTATGCCTTTCCTCAATTGATGGCGTCGGAACATGTCTCAAGTGTCTCTACTTACTGGCACGCCCTATTAAAGTAAATGCTTTTCTTTTCAGCCGGGTTTCTACAGCACCAACATGTATTATATTGGAGAGACGTACGAGCGAATGGGTAACAGAGACGAAGCCATGAAATATTACAAGGACGCCTTTAAAATGCCAGTCGTAACTGCTGATGACCAATTGATACATCAGAAGGTAAGGACGATTGGAGCTTGTCAAGTCTTTTTCTGGAACAAGTTACTTCTTATTTTTAAGTTTGTTTAGTGGATTAGCACGTCTCAAAGTGGAAGAACATACCATATAGCCTCCATCACTTCCTGACGTGTTGGTCCCTTCTGTGTTAATCTCAGCATGGTGTCGAATGTTTAATTACTTCTGCCAAACGAGCTACTTAGATGAAAACTTTATTGGCCCAATGTTTCGACCTTCTCGTCTTCTTCAGAGCTCCGAAGCCGTCCACATGCGGATCTTAGCTCATGTGTGTGTTCAGTAAAGGTAGAAGGACGTAAGAAGTAGTAGCACGAACTTTGGAACTGTACTTCCGTTCCTTACTACTGTGCTGACACACCAGCGTGAGCTAAAGCTCCGCATGGCGAGACCTTCGGGCCAGAAGAAGACGAGAAGGATTCCGAAACATCTGAGCAATAAAAGTTTCGTGCTAACCAACTCGTATAGGCCATATAACTTTTCTGCCTCGTCCGCATCCACTGTTGAGAGGATGTTCAAAAACCAGTAGGTTGCCACTTAGGACAGTGAGGGTGCAGGCAGCAGGAAGATGGGCAAGCTCTGGTCTCACGTCACTACCTTTGATTGTTTAGCATTCTCTTCTTGTGAGCACCTGCGGCGTTGCGCCGTCCTATCCAGCAGTAGTTCGCTTTGGATTTTTTCCGACATACAAAGCGAATCAACTGTTTTCAGGCTCACGAGAAATTGCGGAAGGCCGGAATCAAAGACAGCCAGCTGATATAAGTGTAGCAGAGAAACCGAATGTAATTAAATTAGGGCATTTAGGTGCTTGTATATAGGGGTTGATGACTACGGATTTTTACTGGGTGCAACTTCACTAGTTAATAACCTTTTTTATTGTGTCATGTTTATGATGCTGTCAGGTGGTAAACACCTCAATAATAAAATGATTGACTTTTTCCAATGGATACAATCTCTTTCGCATCGCTTTTCTATACTAATGAGAAGGAAAGCTGAAGGTGTATTGTAGATCCCTGATGGCGAGGTGCGGTAGGCATGACTACGTGCTCTGGTGAACTAGGCGGCGGCTGCTCTTTTATGGGAAGGTTTCATTCCGAGGCAACTGTTATCATATTTTTGTCCAACAAAAGAAGGATGTCTACTGTCTTCAACTGAAGTATCCCACCACTCCTGCGCTATGTTCGAATGGAACAGGCGGTCACACCCACCGCTTCACAGGGCTGTGAGGTCTTCCTTTCGGAGAGAATCAGGTAGCCATTTTTCGGCGAGAAGTTTAGACGGTGAGCATGATGGTGTATCTGGCCACCTGACAAATGTTTTGCATTAATGTGGGGAGCAGAAGTCGTGAAACTAGAAAAGTTCAGAGATCAACGAAAACAAAGCTCTCAGTGCTGGATTGAGGTTCTGGATAGGTTTTTCCTGGGAAATCGCAGGGGAGGGAAGGAGATGAAGAAGAGAGCTAATGAAAAAGCCAAATTGGAATTTAGCGGTAGAGATTACTGGAGACGTAGCTGAAGCAGCGCTGTGAAAGTTCTGCTTAGCGACCAGTTCCTCTTCCACATGACGTGCTGCACTACTCCCCAATTCCTGGTGGGCATCGCTGGAAAAAACGCTTTCGTGTTCGGAATAGCAACTCTTCGAACCGGTTCAGCGTTGATGGTTTTAGGTTTTTCTGAGGCCGTCAGAAAAACCTAAAACCTTAGCGTGGCTGTTCGTCTAGCCTTTTATATCTTTTCAATTACTCGCACTTGCTGGCAACTGTCACATTTTTCGAATGGTTCATCGTCTATCACCGACATCTGTTGGATTTTTCCGAGCGTTCTGTCTCAAATGAGCTTAGAAGTCTATTAGATCTCTTGCTTTCACTACCAAAATATGAGGGGTTATCCACACCAATTTAGTTCAAAGGCATAAAGCAAGATAATTTGGTACTTGGTCCAAAATGCTAGCAGGGTGCTATGTAGTGGGGAAAATGGCGAAAAAACGAAGTGAAACGGTCAAAAACCTGCGAAGAAAAGCCTTCGTTCTTCTGACTCAAAAAGCATTTCCGGACGAGTTTCCTCGTATGGCATCGTGCCAATAACCGCTACGGTAGGTACGGCTGCATGTGCGTACTCTATATCCATGCAGCACCACAGCCGCTTCATATCAATCCCTTCGCTTCATATTTTACTTCGCAAATAAAGCAATACCAGTATCAGGAATGGTCGCCCAATTGTGGCGCGTTGGGCGTCCTGGTCGGTATGTTGCAGCTCGGTAGGGCCTTATAAGGTCACCTTCTTGGGAAGAGGCGCTACACAGCTCCTGCTCAGGGGAACGAATTCCATCCTGTCAGGCGTATAGATTCACGTGCGTCTTTAGGGATTTATCGGACAACTGCCTTTAACAAAAAAAATCGACTAACTTGGAATGACTGTTCATATGAATGGAGAAATCGTCGAATGCACATTTCTCTACTACCCATAAAAATCCAAACCTTGTATGGGAAATTGTGGAATGGGCCGCATCGAGCTAGCTTGTCGCTGCTAACCCTTCTATCAAGCACTTTTGAGTCGCAAAAGTGCGACATGTTCTACGGTTGCCGATTGCTCCACATTCTACAACGAGGAGGTTCCACACGTCAGACAGTCGCGGACGCTGCCTTTAACTCGACCCCATTTAGTGAATCTCAAGCAAAGTATGGGCTCAGGACTAGAATGGTGCAGCATCGTTGGGCAAATCTTATGGGATCCCCAGTTGGTCAGCGAGGAGGAGGTCGCGTTGTAGCGCCTAAACAATACTATATAGCAGAACTTTTTGACAGAGCTGCATCCTCGGAACTGCTTTCGAAAGGAACACCTCCTCTGTTCGACCCCACCAGTTTGGAGGCAGGGGGGGGGGATGGGAAACAGGTGAAACCGCCGGAAAACTGGTAGGGAGTTGGAAGAATATGGTAATGTGGTAGGGTATGTTATGAGGGATGGTCGTGCGATACAGGCGAGGGGAGGGAGGGGGATATCACACGTGGATATCATCAATAAATCTCTTCGCACGGAGTGAAGGAGTATGTAGACGCTCTCCACATACTCGTCGAATGATGGTCCTCGAATCTTCAGGATTCGTCGCGGGAAGCGTAGAATCCTGGGGCGCTCGGCAATTATTCTGACCACAAGTCGACGCATGAGAGGCAGATTATGGACCATAGAGACGTAGCAGGAAGTTTGGCGTTCACCAAGTTCTTCCCGAATTCATTGGCAATCAGCGATATTAAGTAGCAATTATCTTGGAAGGGAAATCTGTTCTCCCATAGGTTGCGGGGTGTAGGCGGAGACAGGGTAATTGGAACAAACAGCGCCATCGCTAGAAAGGCTCATAGATAAAATCTTGTCTAAACTGACCGCAACTTTCATATTGCCGATGCTTGATTCATGACTTGCCCAGAAACTAAAACATTTATAGATGGCGGTGGACCCTAACGTGAAGGCCTTATGTTATAGAATACAGGCCCTCTACAATATTTGGAGGAAGCGAAATGCATGGCACAATTCACAGAAGTTGGAATAATTGATCAACTCGCTACCAATCACAGCGAAAGATTTACGAGTTTCACAGCATCATGCTGACCACTTGTTCCCAGAGAGATGTTGGAATTCCGGAGAACCGTGGAAGAACTCTGTGAGAGCGCTGTTAAAAAGTCGTAACCGCCATTGTGCGCCCTCCTTAGCGCTGTCCGATTTAGGTCAGATCGCGTTCGTATGACGTGTATTGATCGAGATTCTCCGCATATCTCTAGCGATTCGCCCTCTTATTCATTGCTACCATGATAACATTGATCACTTCTACCGTATCACCTTACCCATTCATGATATGACTGCCTTACTGCCTTCTGTAGTTCATATTGATGACTGATCAAAAGAAGATGTTCTCAATAACCGAATCCTATTTCAATAATCTCTCTTTTGCCTTTCTTCCAGCTTGTACTCATTTCATTAGGTCTGGGTTTTGTTATTACTTTGAACGAGTAGTTTCATGAGGGATGCTTTTGTTGTCTGCAGCGGATATGGTACCAGCAGGGTGCAGCATCGTTGTGTGAAACACATAGGGGTCGTACCTTCGGGCTGTGGAGGGGGGGGTCGTATGTGGTCGTTGGTGGGAGAGGGGGGAGTCGTATGTGGCTTTGAATGAAATTTGCTCGATGAGAAAAAATTTTTCCCGGTTAATGACTTTTTACGTGATTGTTCCTCCGTGTTTTTTTCCTCTTTCATGTGATGCACGTGTGCTTATATCAGCCCCTTCTGCCTCGATATGCAAAATTTTTGCGTGAAAGCTGTGAGAATTTTTCGAAATTTTTCGGGGAATCGCAGGAGAAAATGTGTTAGAAGTCGGGGTTAAATCTACAAGGGATTTTCCTGTTCACATTGGCCCTACAACTGTTCTCCCCCCCCCCCCCCCACCTCCTTCGACGAAAATGTCTGCGGTTGAAAAAACTGGAAAAATGTTGGGATTAGGTACGGTAGATGCTGAGGCTAAAGGGGGGGGCGCTGTCGAGCCGACCCTCCCCCATTTGGCGAGGAGCAGGAGGGAGTCGTACCAAAGACCCTTTGTCGAAGGCGGAGGTCTTACTGGCCACCGCCCTTCTACACATCACAATGCTCCCTGGTTACCAGTCAATCCCGTACTCGTGGGGAAGTATTGATAAGTGGGCTCTAGGTTGGGGCGGAACTAGTTTTGTAAAATTTTTGATAGTAAATAGTTTCGAGCGTAGTTCGTCTTGATGGTGGCACCGATTGGTGCTCAGTCAAGCTCTTACAGGCCACCTTGGATTTACCTGTTCCTGTGGCCAAAGTGGGTCACTCGCACCATCTCGCATTTTCACAGGGTTCAACAGGTGTCACCAGAATAATACCTGCTATTCAGCATGGATCAACAAAAGGAACCGGTGAAAATGTAGATGCTCCCTCCAAGAAGAACAGCGCCGGGGTGGCTCCGCATTGAAGGAACATTACGCGGTGGCATGGCTCGTGATTGGATAGAATCCATTTAGGTTCGGGCAAAAAACAAAAGAAGATGGCAATAAAAACATTCTGCCAGGACAAAAGGGATGATAGCGTTGAATCCGGGGGGTCCTATAGCGGTTAACGAAACGGTTGGTGGAAAATGGCTGGTGCCTCGTCAAACCTAACCCTCCTAGTGAACAAGACTACATATTTATCATTTATTTTCAAGTATTTCTTTGTGTCAAGTGCTTAGAACCTATTTAACTTACTCTCCTCCTCTATGACGATTCTAGGCAGGCGAGAACTTCTCTTACTACCTAGCAGTGTTGCAGTATGTTGTTATCTTTTACGATACCTCCATGTCCTTTGTTGCTTGACACTTGAATATGACTGCTTGACTTCAGCTTTTGCTTCTATACCTTAGAGTTTTGTTATCGCGGAATCTTCATTTAAAGGCAAATGGCACGATAATTCGGTACTCGGTCTAAAATGCTAGCAGGGTACTGTATAGTGGGGGAATGGCGAAAGAACGAAGTGAAACGGTCAAAAACCTTCGCCAAAGCCTTCTTTACATTTATGACGCCATGCAAGTAATTTTGCGACGAGTTTTCCCGTAGGCATTCGTGCTAGTAACCGCTGCGATGGATACGCTACACATATGTACTCTTATATCCAGGCAGCAGCGCGGCCGTCGCTTCATATCAGTCCCTTCGCTTCATATTTCACTTCGCAAATGAAGTAATACCAGCATCAGGTACGCTTGTCCATTTGTGGCGCGGTGGGCATCCGGGCCGGTATGTCGCAGCTTGGTAGGGCTTTCTAAAGCTACCTTTACGGAAAAGGCCCACTACGCAGCGCCCGCTCAGAGCCGCAGAATTCCGTCTTGCCAGGCATATTCGTCCTTCTCGTCATTGGTTTACCGTGCCAACTGCCTTTAAAGAATGCATCCGCGGTACCCCAGCGTTGGAGAAGCTTTTTGTTGTACAAAGCTATCGCAGTTCTTAGGCATATGCTCCTTCAGAGACTCAAGTGCTTCATAAAAGCTCCACGTCTTAATAAATATAAACTAGTCCCGACTCCTCGAGCTGGGTCCACCTTTAGCGTTCCATCATCGCCTACAATGTACTGAGATTATGTCATTTATATGTTCCCTATTCATACCATGATCTGCTTCTATTTCCACACTCAGTCTCTGCGCCGTACGCTCGTACAGCGCTCCGGGCCAACAATGTTCTCAATTGGGGTGTTTTCGACGACTTTGGTCTGCTTTTTTCTCCACTGATCCCACATACCACATTACCTCATGATTCTCGATAGTACAACTCGCCAACGGCGATCTAGAGCGCTGCCTTTGGAACTGCGCCTGTACACAATTTCCCGGAAATGGTCCTTTTCAAGTGCAGGAAGAATGGGTTGGCAGCTTGACAAGTGTAACACCTTCGTCATTTGAAAGCGCGCTGCAATAAGGCTGAAGGGTGGTAATGCCCTAGCGCCATTCGGGATTTCACTGGCGCAATCTTCAAGGTGCAGCCCTTGTGTCGATGACAGAATAATGCTATACACAAACAGATGATAGAGAACAACTACGCGTGTGACAGCGCAGACAACTAGCGCGTTCGGCTGTAGTTAAACGTGGGCCGGCAGCACGGGCGGAGCCCAGAAACAGCAGCCAGGTAGGTTTCACCACGCTCCACCCCACTCCTCTGCACGTTCCGGCGGGTACCGGTCACATCACTGTTGGGGATTTCCCAATGTTTGTTAGAGAGAGATGGGGAAGTTCGCATTTACCTTCTAAGGGAATTCGGGGCGTTGAGAGATTTGCCGACATCAAACCTCAAAGCGATGAAAGTTCTCATAGAAATTCTGGTGATGTCCCAAGGTAAGAGCTTCTGTTGTGAGAGAGGTCGCTGCCAGACTGAGGGCCAATGCGGCCCCATCTCGCTTTATTCAAACAGTACCTCGCTGATTTTGAATTCTTGTATTTTTCATGGTTTTCATGGTATCTGAGGCATTACCTTCCTTTGTCATTACCCATTTGAGGAGCCGTACGACACCGAAGAAAAGTAATCCCTCCCCATATATGCCGAATGCTGAATAGAAATGAACCCTCATGCTTCGATTCTCCCGCAATATTTTGCACAATTCCTCTTTAATCATCATCATGCCTGTTCACCAAAGCCTATTGTCGTTTCAACTACCGGAGCCAGAAAAGATCCGATGCGTGCATTATGGTATCGTCATGTTCTGTCAAATTTTTGCTCCCACCACTAAGACTCCTTTTTACCACCCATAATTTATGAGATCGCAGAAAATCTCAAAACTGATGAGCTCGACAGAAATGTCGAAATATGATCACTGAACACACCTGCTCAGTTATGGGACCATGGTCATTTGATGACAGGCTTTTTCCCTGGACGAAAGTTGTGGGTCAAGAGATCTGGGTTGCGGCGATACGTGCTAACTAGCTAAGCTTGCGCGACTTTTCCCGGCTAGCTACACCGCTTGTTGTAGCATTTGTGCATTAGATACGGACTAACTGTCACCCTCACCTCCGTGAATCGTGGTCTTATGGGGCAATGGGTCGCACCTGCAGTATCTATTATTACTCTGGTCAGAGCAGCACAGGAATGGAGTCGGAGGTTAAAGATACCCGCCTGCCGACTCCATATTCCTCTCGCGATACGCACGTCTAACCATAGCCGAACGCGCTTCTTGCCTGCCCGTTCTCACTTCTGGGTTCTGCGTTCACCTGGCGCATTACTGGAGCTGCGAATCTATTCACCTCCGGCATTAAAAAACCGTCCTTGAAGGTGGGTGTACAGTTTGTTTTTAATCAACTAAACTCTGTTGCAGTTGGTAGGTTCTCGACGCCAACTCCATCTCCTGACGCGCATCTATAGAGAGGGAATGTTCAGTGTGTGTTTTCAGCATGCCTCTACCGAGCGGCGAAAAGAAGTTATCAAGGCGACTTACCACCGAACTTCTGCTTCACCACAGATGATCCCTTCTATTCTGGTCCAGCCACATGTAATCTATTGCATTACACACCGGCCGCTTATATGGCCGGCTTTATAGAGATGGCAATGCTGGCAAGTGGATCCATTTGGTTTTGGCGTAAGTCATGAACTTTTCAACTTTTCACATTTTTTTCGGCTTGTTGGCTCATAAAGGAGGAAATAACTAGCTTCACGTTGGTTGAGTAGGACGGGAGGTTTTCATTTCTTGTTCGTTTGCACCCTCTCAATGAGACAGTGCTAGGTGACTGAAACCTCTCGGTGAGAGCGCAGACGAACAGAGAGTGGACGTTGCATAGATCCGCCCACGGCCCATCCCTGCTCTAATCACATTAGCGCCTGTGTTTTGATAATAAGGATAGAAATAAAGTCTTCGCCATTAATCGATCTCTATTTGGCGCGGGATTCTACTTCCATTCAGAATCGTGTTGGCTGACTGAATGCGATGTGGCCTATACAATGACTTGCGGGGCCAGCCGATGTACAGGTCAGTGTTTTATCCTCCCAGACGAATCCGGCACCACTTTACCATTTCCGTAGGGCAAAAGCTTGGCTGGCCGGTGCCAGATTTGACCCCTGGACCGTGCCCGTGATGAGTGTGCCACTTCCCACTGCGCCACCTGTTTGTTACAATATGATAGGTTCAAAAAAAACAACTCGATGTTGAATATAGACGTGACCATCGGCGAGCCTAATCACCAAGCCATAGTTCACCTGATAGAAGTAGAAATGCTTTCTTTCGAACCAAATTCTATGTTTGTCGTATGGGCGGAGACGGTCATCTATTGTGCATTCTTCCGAGCCCTCAATATTTAGTTGCTTATGAGTGATGGAAGTATCCCTTGGTAGACCATAAGGCCTTTTGATCCCGAATGCTTCCCTATTTTATTTATTTGCTGAAGATATGCTTTACAGAACTACACAGCGTTAATCATTCTGTGGACACATGGGTCGTACTTTGTATGTTCGCTTTGACGGCCGCAGGATTAGTTACATCTCTTCTAATGGTATTGTTTTCCGCGGGTCATGATTTCAGATGAAAAACGACTGAGTTATTTTTCATTGATGAAATAATTTTCAATAATTTTTAGTTCTATGGACTGAAAACTGAGCAGGCAAGGTTGCTGTCTCCGAAATTGGCATTCATCCAGGTGAGCACCTATTATCATTCCGAAGATCTAGTCCACGCTTCTATACTGGGCGGAGTTATACTTACATTTGTGCCCTCCTCATTGAGCATTGGGACAGGCTGCTTTCGCCGTTAATTGGACCATAGAGGTGCGCTGATCAAGGGCCGGCAGCTGTAGTCCAACTCCGCCAGTATATCCCCCGTTGACTGTATTTTCAAGACGGCTCCTGATAGGCTGCATACTAGCGGCGGTTAGGACCTATAGCATCACCCCTGCACAGTGAAAGTGGGGAGGTAGTAAGCGTTTTACACAAGAAGATTGCATTTTAGCCAAACACGGACCCTTAAACATTAGCAGTGCCAACGGTGTAGCTGAGTGATAAGAGGATTAAACGTCTTGAGTTGGCTCCAGCCACTTGTATTTTGAATGGATAGCCCAAAATGGGTGGGCCAGTTCAGTAGTTTCAATCCCAATCGGTATGGCTGATCCTATTGGCAGATCCGCTAAGAGTGGACTCCTCCAATTTTTCAATACCTCTGAGAAATGACCACAGTACCAGCTCTGACACCCGCAATCCGGCGGGGCGATGCCAGGTGTGGAATGGTCCACTCGCGGCTGCGCTTTCTACCAGTAGTGGACCTGTTTGGGTAGAAAACAACCAGTAGTAGAAAACGCAGCGGGAGGACTCATTCCTCGCCTAGTGACCCTGCCCCGCCGGAATGTGTCGATGTCAGGGTGGGCTGCGCGGCACATGAAAATGTTATTCACACCAATCTTGCATTGCTGACGAAATAGTTGACCCCAATTGAACGTCATTAGTTTGTATAAGTGCAATTTCAGCTCGAGATTACAATTCTGATGCTACTCGCAGCTATCGCTATTGTTGCAATGTCTTTCGGTATTTCACTTACTCATCAATTGTTCAGCGTGTTTATAAAGTAAGTTTCTTTCGAACTAATTCATTCGATGACTAGATAGGCGCGTAACGCCACATTGTGCGATTTGGCACCTGCGTGGGTCGCATCCCGTAACGGCAAGTTAGTTGAGTCTTCCACCGCTTGAAGAGGTTTAGTTGGCTGTTGTGGGATCCGATTCAGTTGAGTGAAAGTGGCTTTGGACATGTATAAAGCAGTGGAGAAATTGAGTAGAACATCGGTTGACAATGTAGTCCATATCCTGGGGCAAAAGAGATGCTTCCGAGTACGTAGTGGACAGAGGGATGACGGCTATGGCTTACAGACGAAACCGGGGAAGAGGTGTATAGTCTTGTTCGCTGCAAATGCTGCGGCGTCTCAGGGTGCTGGGGGAGGGTAGGCAAGGGCTGGGTTTGATGCGACGCTAGCCTGCTCCTCCCTCCCGCTCGACAGCTCTATCGTATCAGAGGGGGGTGGGTCGTGTCAAGCCACCTCTTAGAAGGGGGGTCGTACAAACTGGACCAATCCCCAACTATTGATGTGCCCTGATGGAAATATGCAGCCGGCATATTTGAAAACGTTTCCGTGTAGCTCAGAATAATCAGTCTTGAATCCAGTTCTAGTTCATGCGATGAACAGGAACTGTGAGAACCTCAATTTTGTCAATCTCAAAAAGTTACAAAATGCATTTTCCAGCATTTAATCCGAGTAACATAGATAAATACGTTTTTGAAGCTGTTTTGTTATGATAACTGCTGTTTAACGCCGCAGCACGCCTTCCGAAGTTATCACAAGAATGCTGAGTT